GTCCCAAAAATACTTCTCGGTGAAAAGCGAACACAGAGAGCGAGAGAGAGAGAGAATAATAGTAGTTCCGGGGCTGAGAGGTAAACAAATGCGGAGCGAGATAGGACGTTGGGAAATGGTCTGTGGGGCTACGAGGGGTCACTCTGTTGCCCAATGGAAGCGGCGAGGATGAGCACAGTTATGTCACATTATTACACCATGCTCTGCCAAAGCTATCAGAACAAAATAATCCACTCGTGCTTAAAGGAACATTTAAAAAATATGCTTATTAGGTATAATAAATAGGATTTAATAATCCACGCATTCAGACAAGGTCAATAAGATTACTTTTTTTAGAATAAACTTTGCTATTTATATATGTGACCCATCATATCGAAATGAGGATTAAGTAAAATTTGGTCAAAATGACCTAATCACATTTTCTGACTCCTGGCTTTAAAAGCTTCATTTTCATACCTGGATCATGATAATATCATAAACTGAACCAGAGATATGCCTTAATTTGTCTTGTTGGTTACGATAATAAATTAATATTTGGTCTGAATCCTAATTTTATGTTATTTTTGTGAGGATTTTTTTATTTCCTTATGAAGAGGAAATCTCAAAGAGTATTTGAATATTGATATTTTCCAGCAGGAAAGAAACGAACACAGGTTTCACAGAGAAAATCTCTAAATTTAAAGGTGTTTTTTCCTCAAAATCAAGTTTTTTGTTGCAACTGCACAAAAAAAGTACTTCAAAAAGTGTTTCTGATTATATTTCACACAGTTTATTCAAAGAAACATTGATAAGGCGTTATGCAATTTTTGTGTTTTAATTAAAACACTATATTTGCCTATTTCTCCATATCCCACTTTTAGACTCCTTGTTTTGATGCGATGGCTCTCATACACTTATATAAAACATGAAATGAATAAGCAGTGTGCAGAAATATTACATTGCAACATGCACTAAGTCACTTACAGCTGAGCTGGTGAGCCACTTAAGGTGATTCAGCATTTCAAAACACAACCTGAACCAATAAGAGAAGAGAAAAAAGGGGAAATAAAACTTTTTAATCGGTTTGGGAGAGGGGGAAAAAAAATCAAAGTATTCTTTTGCAAAAAAAAAAAAGGTTGTAAAAGCATGTGCTGGAATGTTCTCTGTGCGTCTGCCTGTTTGTCTGCCATCGTGATTGTGCATCTGCCAACAGCAGGGCTTTAATTATGAGGCCCAGGTTGTGTGCGTGTGTACACGCACACACTCAGAAGACTAGCGACCCACATATCTCCAGCACAGTGCCTCACAGTTCCGCTGACTAACCAGTGGCACCAGACTTTGGCCTGCGGCTCCCTGATTCCAGTAAATGTCTTGTTATGCAACATCTGAAGTGTCACCCAGACTGAACTTGGAGCTTTCAGGGAGTCTTCCTCACTTTGTCTTTACCTCTTCTGAAAAGAAGCCTACTGTAGTTTATGGTTTGAACATGAATAGGAGGATGGGGGCATGTAATTATGAGGGGGGTAACCCTTCGAAACATTTAGTGTGACCCACTTTGTGCCAAGGCAGGACCGCAGGAGTGAGGAGGCAGGCAGGAAACGGGGAGGAGAGCTCCTTGAGCTTTTTTCCCTGAGAAACACAGCTGCCCCTCATGTCTTGGGGCAATGCCAAGTTTGTACTCCTTCAACTGCTTTGGGGGGGGGGGTTTGTGTGTGTGTTTTGAACAGTGGGATTGCTGTTCTATCCAGCTCCCATTCCTACAACTGCACATTCACACACAAAGATACCAACAAGTGTTACTAGCTTTAAGTTTAACTTTAAGTTGCTCGTTGCAAAGCTAGAACTGGTTGAAAGCAGGAATAAAATCTGCACAGAATTGATCTTGTATTGATGATTAATGTGACTTTAATTTAGACATTTGTAAGCAAATGTTGTAAACCGATGCCACCTGCTACAGGTGTCTGTTTACGTACAAAAAGTGACTGAAAATAGGGCAAACGTAAAACTTACAGGTCTAGTAGAAGTTTAGGAAAAGCTGCGTAAGTTTGGCACTCCGCCAGCCTGCTTCAGCCCTGAAATTTATTGTTGCCACTTGTCTTATCCATTTCTTTTACGTTAGGGAGAAAATCCACTCAAATATTTTCACCTAAATGTCTTCTCTGGGATCTGCTCGTCCAGTTCCACCATATTTGATAACCTGCAGACTACAGCCAGCCGAATGGACGTCAATCACGTGACTCGAGCTTCCACCTGGTTTTTGACAGATTTAGTGGAGTGCTTTGTTTACATCCAGTGCTGACCCGTGTTTCAGAATTGCATTCGATATTTCTGGAAAAACTACTGAAGAAAACTCATTTAATACATTTCAGGAGAATCTTTTTCTGTTGGATTTCCTATTTTGCAGTAAATATCTTTGGCGGTCGACCACAAAAGGAACACAAAGGCTGATATACAACCATTTTATTTCCTGACCAATATCTACTTTCCATAAATGCTTAAATATTCAGATTTTTAACAACACTCAGAAATACTTGGACATCTAAAAATAGGTATACATAACAGCCTTCTTAATAACAAAACTAAACCATGGGCTACCTTGAGCTGGTTGCAGCAGCTGATGCTGCATCTTCGTCTTTCCACTTAGTAATCACTTTGTGAGTTTCCATATTAAGCCAGTGGCTCATGGGAAATACACTTTAGGGCAGAAGACATGTACCCAAAGACTCAACTCCACAGATTGTTTTAATCTAATATTAAAAATAAAGAAAGAAAGAAAGAACGCAGTTTTCTTTGTCTCTACATGCTACAGTCACGTGTTTGTCTTTAACATTTTATGATTATTGTAAATTATCTTGTGATTTTTGTTGTTTTTCTTTGTTTTTATCTGCTGTAAGGCACACTGTGCCACATTATATTGAAAAAGAGGTAATAATAATACAAATTATTAAAAAAAATACCTTTCAGGACTGTGGCTGAGTGGTTAGGGGAGTCATTCCTTCGATGAGAGAGTTGGCGGTTTGATTCCACCACTATCCTGTCACATGTCCAGGTGTCCCTGAAGACACCCTCACTGCCTCTGATGTGTGTCTCATCATTGTACAAGTGATTTAACGCACCGGTAAGTCTGGACAGAGGATCAAACCTTGCGGTTACAGGACAACTCCACCACAGCCGCCCCGCAACATGAATTATAAGCAGCACTGACCAACATGTATTACATATTATTGGACATTTAGGCAGCCTGTAGAATTGTAGCTGCAATGATTTGATGCATTATCCTTTCGATAATTGGTTGATTTGTTTTTTTACATTTTACATTAGTAAGACAGACACTTTTATAATCAGTTTGATTTTTTTTCAAGGTTTTTGGTTATTAAAAACAAAAGAAAACAAAGAAACAGGAAAATTTCCCACTTTTATCCCTTCTTCCAGAAGTGATGAGGATTTGTTGCTTTTAGATAGTGCTGGGCAGTATACCATTGTATACCGAAAAACGGTTTTTATTTTTGTTATGACTTTTCTGAATACCGGTGTAAAAAGCCTGAACACGTGCGGAACGTTTCGTCACGGCCACCAGTGAGCTGTTTCCCTGGGGACACATTTCATTGCAGTACCGCTAAGCGCTTAGCATGCTAACGTTATAGTTGGAACAACTGGCGGCGTGTGGTGTGTTTCAACCGCTTATATGGTCTGATGTAACAAAAAAAAATCCTGTTTTCAACATGGCTGAATGTAGTAAACAACTCTTCAGTGTCGTGCACGATTAGATTTAACACGCTATGTTATAATGGAGATGTTATTGCATGGAGACTCTAGCATGCTTCTATTGTGAAAAGCCCGGGAGGAAGTAGTTTTGTAGTGTAGCTGAGTTGACTGGTGTGCAAGGTGAGGAGTCCTTATTTTATTAACGTGTTTTATTAACACGTAAAGATAGACCAGATAATGATTTTTTCTCAACTCTTCACGATCGGACCTAAATGCATGGTTACTGTCTACACCCAGTCGAAGATGAAAAGACGTACAAGAGGAGGGAAACAGTGATACAGAGGGACAGTAAAAGAAAAAAGTCAGTAAGCAAAGTTTGTACATTTTATTATCAGCTGAGATGTGAGGAAAAAAATACCGTCAAATACCGTGAAACCAGTGTAATTGTTGAAAATACCGTGATATAAAATTTGGGTCATACCGCCCAGCTCTACTTTTAGAATCCAGAAACTATTATTAATCCTAAAAATGTTTTGTGTCCTGTGCATAGTCCTTTTGCGTGTCCACATTAAAAGGAACCAAAAGTTATACAAGCTCAGGGAAGTTCACTTTTATTGCTCTTTCAATTACAAAAACGACATTATTGGTGATGGAACCATAAAACTATAGGCCTCGGCATCCTTAGTCAAACAAAAGTATTCGCCATAAAAATGGGCCATTAATTTTTTTCTAAAAGCATAGCAAGCAAATTTCAGCCATTTAATCAAGAGCTCTTATCGTCAGTCTATAGAAATCATAAAATACCAAAGTAATAACCCCACAGTGAAGTCGGTTCAGCTTATATGCCACGTTATTCAGTTCAAGCCCAGAAAATTGTTGCGTAATGCAATCAATGACTATTTAAACTTCAAGTTTTAATGTGCATTACAGTTTTGCGTAACAGCATTTTTAGAAGTGAATGGTGAAAAAAAAACAATAGCATCTGGCAACCTCCACTGCAACGAAAACAAGCTCAACTCCATGCAAAGCAATGAAAAGGTCAACATAAGAGCAAGATGATAAATCGACAATGTTTAATGTATATTCTGCTGTTTATGGTATTTTACAGTCAGAATGACTTAGCAAAATAGCACTAAGTGGATTTTATAGATCAGTCACCAATCAGATTATAGGAAACGTGCTTTAGTTCCTGAGCCTGCCCTCTCAGTGACAGCACTCAACAAGATGAGAGTCAATAGGTGCATTTACAAGGTAATGACACTTTAGTGGCTTGCTGTACAATCTGCTCTGACCAACGTGTTTGTCTGCTCCAGCAGTTTGTTTGGAGATCAGTGGGAGTGTTTACCAGCGTAGGCTGAGGAATTTTAGGTCAAGAGAGCATCCTGTACAGAGGAAACCTACAACCGAATTGATCCCGACTTTGACATCAAAGCGTCTACCTGAGCAATCCAGCTCCACCAGCTGAAAGCAAATATTTATCCCACAGTGACGTCAAAGAAGAAAAAGAACAGCTATTTGGCCTGCATGATTGTGTGCATACCTTGCACTATATTGTGTAATTTGTGTGAAATGCTGCCTGACTTGAAAGAATAAAAACTTTACTTGGAGTGAAATAACAAGTACCCATTAGAAATGAATAACCAGCTTTGGCAGAAAAAGCGTTGGTGATACATCATTTCTGCCATCTGTTCTCCTTCCTGTTGGGTGGCGTCCTGTGCCAGGGCCAGTGTCCAGTTTAATCTGAGAGGGTTTTTTTTTTTCAAGCCGGTCCAACCTGGCACAACTGTCCTCAAAATTCACACAGTTACAGACGGCCTGAGAAGTGTGGAGGCTGTCATGACTCAGCTCAACGACTGTGGGAGATCAGCAGCACCGGAGAACGAGCTCTGCATCGAACAATCACAGAGCAGACAGTCTTAATCAAAGATTAATGAAAACTTAATGTGCTGCAGGTTACTGCACGTGTTCAGCTGAGAGAAGTCTGTCACACAGAGAAGCAACCTTTAGGTTAATTACAGCTAATAATCTATGCTGCTCAGCAGTCACTGCTGCAGAGGAACAAAGCATCTGTGTTAATGACAGCTACAGTATCTTACACAGACGTCACCTCAATCGACCCGTGGCTCAGCACAAAATGCTGAACATGTTCTGATTCTTTTTGTGTTCCGCTGACAGGATTAAACCTGAAGGCGTTTCAGCTAAAGAGGCTTTTATTTAAATTTGTTCTGCAAAGTGTGCAACGACAGAATATTGCGTGCAGGACATAAAAATCAACGAGGCGTTATGGTTCAATCAGGACAGAATTAATTAAAGGCAGAGCATTCGTTAACGGGATGCATATCACCCGCCACCAAGTTAAACAGCCACAGGTTTACATCCAGTGAGTTTTCATTAAGATTTGTCTGGAAGTTCATGAAACTAAAGCAAAAACATTTAACTATGAAACGTCACATTTTAAATGATGCAATGAGTTAACATAGACATATGATGCTTTTTTTATCTTTCCTTTTCACGTTTAAATCATTCAGTTGGGGTCTTTATAAAGGGGAACTACAATGATTTGGTCTTAATTCGTCCTTATTTTAACTTCACCAGCTCCTCTTTCACCTCTTTTCTGTTGTTTGCCTCAAAGCAGCTGGTTTTGTTACTGCTCCTTTAAGACACTTCAAGCCCCGCCCCACTCCTGCTTCCAGACCGGTCCACTCCAGTTTGAGAGAGAGGGGGTTAGCATTTTCTGGCATGTAGAAATGTTTTATTTACAATTTAATTAAAAGGTGTCAACAACAGAAGACTTGTCCATCCAGGCTGATAAGGAACCAGAGGATTAAGACAAGGAAATTGTAGTTGGTAAGTCCAGACCTTAGATTATTTGACGTAAATAGTTCAGAAAACGTCATAGAAAATGGAGAATTATGACCCAAACCGAATATAAAAATATCTTTGCAGCACTAGGAGAGACTAAATTCAACTTTTCTGCCTCCTAGAGACTCCAACAAAATGTATTTAACAGCTAAAAAAGTGGATTTTGCAGGATATGTCCCCTTTAAATATGCTGAACTGAACAGACTATGAAAGCATCATAGTGAAGAAATTTATAGTTATTAGAGGTTAGTACTTAAAAGCACACTATATTTTTAGGTTTTCCTTTTTATAATTATAATAATGTTTTATAATAATGTTTTGATTGATATAGATTAGTTACATGTCCGAATTATAACAACACATAATTAAAACGTTATGATAACAGTAGATACGATTTTTGTATGAATGCCTGTGATTCAGCCGTAGGTCAGTAGGGGGCGAACGCAGGCATTGAAGAATCATGTATAAATTGATGTACTTCCTGGTTTTTCACCAGTGGGTTTCCTGTCAACTCCGGTGGCAATAAACCTCACTCGGTTCCAGAATTCTGGTGTTGTATGGTTTTGATTCCTTCTACAAATCATTTTATTTAACAATGGTGGTTTTCATATTGACTTCAGTCTATTGAATACGTATTTTCGTACAATAGGATCAAAACAATAAAGCAAGAAGTCCTGATGCATCTCAGTAATCCAGGTAAAGAGATATAGAGAGGTATAGAGATATATGAGATTTATACTGTATATATATGATGTACCATATGATATGATATATATGATATATATCTATATGAGGTATAGAGATATATAGAGGTATAGAGAGGAACGTTGGTTTGAGAGGAGTAAAAGAAGCCATTTTTGTGAAGAAAGACCGTCCATCATTAAACAGAGGTGGAGGCCTCCGTTTTCAGTTGTCCCCCTCCTACAGTGCGGCCATTGCCAGTATCACTCCACCCCCTGTTAACTATAGGTGTTAATTAGGTCTCAACGATAGCCATGTGATGTGAGTATCAGTCACATGGAGGCAGTGCTTAAAAGCCTGAATTTTGCCTGAAACTCTCAGACTGAAGAAGTCTCTTGGAGGAGAGACGAAACGTTTCATTAGAGAAGAACCCGTCCAGAAGACCTATACAATTTTTTTTCTTTTTTAATAAAGCAAGAACTAAAATAAACTTACATCTTCATCATTAAAATAAATATGTTCTCTTTTTAGTTAGGCCCATCTTGTAAGTGAGCTGAGAGACAACGAATCGACGGCCCCCCTGTGTGGAGCCGAGCGGAGCTCTATGAATAACTCCCCTCGCAGCGCCGAACGGCCCTTTGCTTTCCCACCGTGCTCCTCGGTTTACACCCCCAACATGGCAGGATAAGCAGCGAGCTCAGGCAGGAGCTAAGCGCCCCTCTCTGAGCCGCCAGTCAGACAAAAACTTGAATAAAATGAACTCCAGTGATTAACTCTACAGTTTGTTTAGTTGCATCAAATCAGACATTAATGAGTTTTCAGCCTTTATCAAAGTCTGTTTTACAAACTGTGAAGGACTGACTACTGTTGACTAACTGTAACTTTCAAAACAATAAACTGTAACTCAAGTAAACCACTAAGAAATGCGTTGACCACGGATTCACGTAACCAAAGAGGCCACGTTTCTTTTTCCTCCAGAGAAGTCAAGTTGTGTAAAAGTGTTAATGCGGCAGCTGTGAGTTTGGTGCTGAATTACTGGCACTAAAACCAACAAAAATTCACACGTTTCAGGGCTCATTTCCTCTCAGTGGAGGTCAGGTTAGCTGACAACACACATGAAAAATAAAAAATAAAATAAAAGTTTAATGACGTTATCCTTTTTCTGTAAGATTAATGAGAAAAAAAGGATAAACGTTATTATTGTTATTTTATAGTGTATGTAGAATCCTGGCTATAATACTAATTTAGTAGGGGTGCAACGATACAGAAAATTCACGATTCGGTTTGATACTTTAGTCTCACGGTTCGATATTTTTTCGATACAAAAAAGAGAAATTTCCATGCCCTTTTTTACTTGTAATTTATTGAAATTAATTATGGGCATTTGTTTAACCTCAAAAGTACAGTTTTTAAATTAAATGTTGCTGAAACAGCAAGTTTCTCAGTGGATCTGCGCTCAAAAATGCAGCCTAGGTGGAGTAGTCGAACACAGATCCACTGATCCTTCAACACAGAGCATCTTCAGAAGACAAGTTGACAAAATAAAATTTAAAAATCTGTATTATTCGATACAAGTGTGTATTGAACCTAAAGCACTGTTTGATATGGTTCGATACGGGTACATGTATTGTTGCACCCCTATAATTTAGGACTAATTTGAATGTGGTTCATTGCTAATGGCATTTTTGCCCACTTCTTTAGCACATTTGCTTTAGAGTGACACTCAAATAAGGACAGTATATTTCAGGGCTATTCAACTAAACTGCTCCGGGGGCCACAGTTACTGCAGGTCAACATCTCAGGGGCCAAACATCCAGCAATTAAAGTCGTTATGTAAATAAGCCAAGTATTACAAAAGATATGTTACCTTTGAAATTGTTCATGTTGCTGCTTTTAACCCTATGTAATAAATAAGGGTGTAACGATACATCGATCTATATCGATATATCGATTTGAATGGTTCATTATTCAGTTATATCGAGGCAAAATTAAAATATTGATCTATATCGTCATTAGGGCTGCCACGATTAATCGACGACTTATCAATTATTAAAATAATCTATGACTAATTTAATAATCAATTAATCGTTTTCATTTTTTTGTTCTTTACTTTGTTTTTCTCTCCAAACTGCTTTGACACCTTCCACTGCCACGTCTGCTTTTCTGTCCTTGACACACATGCACAGTAGTGGTAACTGGGGTAGGCYGTGGACGTCACAAGACATTATACAGACAGGCTCTGGTATCATGGCTACACAGCAACGGAGCTCAAAAGTGTGGGATCATTTTAAGAAAATGAAAGAGAAACCTGTGTAATATCTGCAGAGCAGAACTTRCCTTCCACAGCAATTATTTTTAGTTAGCATATAGCTAAAATCTAACGATGGTTATATAATAGCAGCTGCATTCTGGCGCAATAAGCTGTATGTTTTATATTCAATTAACGTTTGATCCGATTAGTCGACTAATAGAATAAATAATCGGTGATTAATAGATTATAAATATAATCGTTTGTGGCAGCCTTAATCGTCGTCATATGATTGATGTGAATCGATATATGCCAATCTAACACAGTCATTGTGTTAGATGGGCATATGATATCGCATTAAATCGATCGCAGACATGTGAATTGAACTTAATCGAAATCGTATCATGACAGACTTTGTGATAGAGAAATATCGAATCGTCATCCAAACATATCGATGTAATATTGTATCGTGATAAAGCTGGTGATTTACAACCCTAGTAATGAAAGTAGTGATAAGATAACATCAAAAACTAAAATAACA